AAATGAGCCCAAGATGGCGCTGGGATCGGCACAGTTCGCATGGCTGTTTTTGGCGGATGTTGCGTTGCAGCGCTATTGGGAGCTGAAGCCCCAATTGCCTATCCTGCTTCATGCGCTCTTTGCCCATCTCGATCACCGTATTCCCTTTGTCCGTGCGCGCGCCCAACGTATGCTGTTCCAGGTTCTACGTTCTTGGGCGCCCGGATATGATGAACTGCCAGATCGATCCTTGTATCCAAATCGTTCGGCTCTCAAAGCGTCCATTTCCAGTCTTGAAGTGGAGGCGGAAAACATGTATTGGAAAGAGGACGAGACCAGCGTCGACGCGGAGCCTAAAATGAAATGGCTTTGTTCTGAAGTTGTGCGTTTCATGCTTCCGCTCTGCCCCATGTTGGCGGAACTGTGGGGTTCATTGGCGTTATCTTGGGGAACGTCGTGCTCGATTAGGGCCACTGCATTCAGGTCACTGCAAATCTTCCGAGCGATCATGGTGCGCGTCACGCCCGGAGACCTCGCTCTTCTTCTCGGCCGTCTGTCCAACACGGTTTCCGGTCCTGATGACAACATCAAGTCGTTTACGGCAGAAATAATGCGGACCATGCATGCCATGGTTTCTTTGCCTCATCTGGACAAGTCGATGCTCCCTCAGATGTTTTGGTGTGCGTGTGCCTCCCTTTCGACCACAGTCGAACACGAGTTTGCCCAGACACTCAAAATTCTGGAGACTCTACTTCCGCGAGTGGATTTCGATGACCCGAGTACTGCCGAACTCCTTCTTTCGCGACAACCGATGGGTTGGAACGGTCCTGAATTCCTGCAGCCCGTCTTGCTGACTGGTCTCCGATCTTCCACCACCTCTGACGCAACCATGAAGGTCCTTCGGACTTTGACCAAGGTTCAGGATGACCGTCTCATCGACCCTACCAGAGGACGTGTTCGTGACCTGTATACACTAGCCTTACCGTGGTGTCTGCATGCCATGGCGCCAGATACACCGAACGATCCCGCGCTGAAGGAGTTTGCTGAAGACATCAGTATCCTCGCTGAGCAAGAGGGGCGTCAGAGCATCCAGAAAATCATGAATTCCTTCATCAAAGGTCATTTCCGCACGCGGGACGACTTCCTCCGTCAGTCTGTAGCGAGCCTCCGCGAGCATTACGGGGTTGATTACTGGACAGAGATCGTCACTCTGCTCCTTGGCCTCGTCCTCAACCGTCAAAGATGGCTGCGTGTCCAGGTGATGCAGATTCTCAAGGTCTTGTTCCAGCAGCGGGAGACCCGGAATCCGGTGGAGCTGTTGGGGTCCGAATTGCTCATGCCTCTTCTACGACTTCTTGAAACCGACTTATCTGGACAGGCCCTAGAAGTTCTCGAAGAGCCGATGACTATGTCCGGCGGTCTCGCAGCCAAACATGTGTTACGCATGAGCATGCACTCGCGCTCTCTGACGAAGGACGTCAACTCGGTTGCCACTGTTTTCGGAGTTCCAGAGCCGTCTGGATGGTCCGTCGTCCAAACAGACACGCTTCGTGCTACCTGCCGTTCCAATATGATGGCGGTGTTCGACACATGTTCCATGCCCTCACGGCCCTCGCGAATCGACTTCGAGCCAGAGGTGGAGGCCCTTGCTGCATCTAGCCCGCTGCAAGAGGATCTGGGAGGTCTCGTGCAGAACCTGCATGACCTGACGACATTCTTCCAGGAAGACGAACCATCCTCCGATATCCCAACGTTCACCATTCCAAACCGACGCCTAGAGGCGCGGGTCGCCGCCATTCTTGCTAAGTCGATCTCGTCTGAGGCGATCACTGACACCCCCCAAACGCCCTTCCGTGATGTTTTCCGGGTTGGGGCGATGAGTCCGGCGGATGAGTCTGACGAGTACTCGGACACTGATTCTGAATTAGACGCATTTATATTTGATAACCCGAGGGTTAGTGCTCCTAACGGGTCGCGGTTCCATTAATTTTTTCGCATTATCGATTCCCTGGAATGTATATTATACGCGCATGTAGATTATTCACATATAAACTGTATTTACCAAGCGACGTGGAGGACGCGCGGAGATCGCGTTGAGTTGGCGTGGGACATTTGGAGCCACGTAAGCAGCGCCTCTACAAGCTTTCGCGCTCTCTGCGACAGCGCCTTTCTCTTCCAACTCGTCCATTGCACCAACAACTTCTCTTTTACGATGTTCATCATCAACTGGTTCTGGGATGTCCTCGCTCAACTTGGTAGCTCATGCTATCCTTCATTCTTGAGCGACTGCTAAATCGTTCTAGGGCTTATGCACAAGAATGCCAAAATTCTCTTCCTTGGTCTAGACAACGCTGGGAAAACGGTATGTCCCTCCCCCCCCCTTTCAGTACTTCAGCTATTGACCTGTCCAGACCCTTTTGCACATGCTCAAAAACGACAGGCTCGCTACTCTGCAGCCGACTCTCCACCCAAGTACGTCGGGCTCGTTTATTACCGACTACCATCTTACTCGGATACAGCTTCGGAGGAGCTTGCTATTGGCAATGTTAAATTCACGACTCATGATCTTGGTGGACATCAGCAGGGTGCGTGGTTTCCTGGATTGATCCCGTTCGTCGTATTAATGTTTCCTATCTAGCGCGCCGTCTCTGGCGTGACTATTTCCCTGAAGTGGATGCCATTATCTTCCTTGTGGACAGCGCCGACTTTGAACGGTTCTCTGAATCCAAGGCGGAGCTCGACGCTCTCCTGGCAATTGAGCAACTGTCCAAAGTTCCCTTCCTGATTCTTGGCAACAAGATTGATGCCCCGGGGGCAGTCAGCGAGGAGGAGCTGAGGCATCATCTGGGACTGTACCAGACCACCGGCAAGGTCGGTTATACGGCGTTGATTGTCCCATTCCTTCGCTTAAATGCTACAGGGGAAAATCCCTCTCAACGACATTCGGCCTATCGAAATCTTCATGTGCTCGGTCGTTCAGAGGCAGGGGTACGGAGAAGGTGACTACTTGTCCGTCTCACTCGGTTCTATTGCTCACGTTGTCCTAGGGTTCCGATGGGTGTCGCAATACGTGAGTTGTTTGTTTCCGGTTTCTTATATCATCTCATTTCCCCGATAGATTTGAGCCAGGGAAGCACGCCGCTAGATGCTCTTTTGCTTGGTGGACACGGGGATGTTTCTCTTCGACGTATTTTACATCAGTAGCACGAATACTCTTTGTATCGGGGCTCCAGGACCCATACATACATATGTTTCCAATCATCGATTCTCGTGTAAATGAAGGGTTGTGAATTCGGCTTATGTCATGCCAGCTCTTCCTTCTTTCCGCAATGTCTTGCTGCTCTCCATAGCCCTTCGCGTTGCTCTCATCGCTTACAGTGAATGGCACGACGCGCATTCCGTCGTGAAATACACGGATATCGATTATCGAGTTTTCAGCGATGCAGCTCGTTTCCTCTTGTACCCAGGACCCGCCGCCGAAAACCATGCTCAAGGGCCACTGGGGCTGAAGTTTGCTGTTGGAGAGTGCGCCAGTTTGTCTCTTCGTCCCCGCGCAGGAGTCAATGTTGTCATGTAGTCCGTACACGCGGGAAACGTATCGTTACACGCCGTTGCTCGCGTTGCTGCTCGCCCCGAACGAATGGCTCCATCCCTCGTTTGGCAAATATCTCTTCGCCGCTTGCGATATATTCAACGGCGTCCTCATTTATGATCTTCTGGTGTCTTTCGTGCTTCCAAAGTCGGCCTCCGTGTCGGAGAATTCGACCAGCCGCAGAGATCTCGCGACGCTATATACCGCGCTGCATCTGCTCAACCCGCTCGTCTTCACCATATCCACACGCGGGTCGTCCGAGTCCGTTCTGTCACTGTTTGTGCTGCTCACGCTCTATGCAGCGCTCAAGGGGCGGTGGGACGCCGCTGCGATTGCACTGGGACTGAGCACGCATTGGAAGATATACCCCGTAATCTACGGTGTAGCGTGTCTGGGCGTCATAGGCGGGGCCGAGAATGTCAAGGGACGGAAAGCGTATCTGCGCTCCCTCATTAATCTGCGAACGATACGGTTTGCAGCATTAAGCGCATCGACGTTCTTTGCCTTGGGCGCGGGATGCTACCTCTGGTTCGTCCCGCACTCCTTCTTCTTCCTTTGCTAGCGACTAAGACACCCGTAGGTGGGGGTATCCGTTCCTCTACGAATCGTACCTATACCACCTCCACCGGCTAGACCACCGCCACAACTTCTCGCCGTACTTCTACCTCATCTACCTGACCTACCCGTCCCTCGAGTCGTCGGCGCCCGCATCCCTTCCCTTGTGGAACCGCCTCCTCCGCTCGCCGCTCACCAGCTTCGTGCCGCAGATGGCGCTCGCGCTCGGCACCGGCCTCGCGTTCGGGCGCCGGAAAGACGACCTCGTGTTCACGTGGTTCGTGCAGACGGTGGTTTTCGTCGTGTTCAACAAAGTGTGCACGTCCCAGGTACGTCGTCCCTCTTTGTCTGCCTTGGGACCGTCCTATAATCCCGCCGCAGTATTTTCTATGGTATCTCCTTCTGCTCCCGCTGCTCCTCCCGCGGCTGTCGATGTCCCGTCGGAAAGCAATCGCGTGCGTCGGCGTGTGGGTTGGGACGCAGGCGTTGTGGCTCAGCGAGGCGTATAAGCTGGAATTCCTGGGCCACAACGTGTTCTTCGGATTGTGGGTCAGAGGGCTCATTTATGTTGTGGGCAACTGCTGGGTGCTGGCTGGAATCATGGACGGGTATATGGTGGTGAATAAAATCAAAACCTAGTTAATCCGATGACTTGAAGTCAAACGAGGATTCGTAGGCTACACATGTGGTGTCCAAACGTCTGAATATAAACAGCCATTTCAACTTCCAAAAAGATAGAACGAGACATAAAGAACGGACAGTACAAAATAAGTATGGTTACACAGCTTTGGAGTTGGGAGGTCGAACAAAATGTAGAGCCCCGGTTAGGATATAGTTAGAGCGAACAGAACGAGAACTAAAACAACAAAAAGAATGGCATCACCGTGGCTTGAACACGGGACCTTCAGATTACACAACCAATGTATGATTCTGTCTTCAGTCTGCTGCTCTCCCAACTGAGCTATGACGCCGATGAACGCAATGCCGATCTATACTACTGTACTGGCGTGAATGTAAGCAACTACGTTACAACACAGCCACAGATCTGGAGGTGGCAACGGATTACTTTATTTGGGTAGAAACCTACCAAATAAGGCAATTTACGGCCCCGCAGCAAAAATCTCAAAATATCATTTTTACGCGCGTTACGTTGCCTACATTCACGCCTGTGCAGTACATGGGGTATCTGTAATGTTTCCGCCGCAAGCCTTTCGGCCGAAGAACCGCTGCGGCCTTTTCAGTAGCAAACTCCACCTTGAGTACGAAACATATCATATCCAGTTCACCGTTTACCCCGAATCGCAAGGGGAAATCGGACCGAATCAATTGAATCTCGTCTTTGGACGTGCCTAGGAACGTCGCCACCCGCCACCCGCGTAAGTTTAGATTAGAACTGCGCCCGCGAGAATGAAGCAGTATGGAGGTAATTTTGCGCACAGCGGAGCGCAATTTAGGGCGTCAATGAGACACTGGCGCGGAAAATGGGCATAGTGGCGCGCACGGCACAATCACCGCAAACGTCCGGGGGTCGCGTCCTTCCGTGAACCAAAGATAGAGGCCCAGCGGACATAGTGAAACGGCGAGAGAGGCGGCTTGTCGGGTCGTCGGGTCGGGTAATAGGCGAGGAGCACACGCGAGGAGTGGCGGCGGCGGATGATGGTAGCCTGACGATAGGAACCGGATGAATGCGAGCAAGATATGGATCAGATGCAATTAGAACCAGAAAAAGTTGTTTCTAATTATACGCACCATACTTATAGCCTGATTAGCGACTACCGACCTCCCTTCTCCCATCTTCACCATGTCCCCCCACCCTGACCTCTACCGCTTCTTTGCCCTCAACTCCGAGTGGGCCAAGCGCGTCGAGAGCCAGGAGCCCGGCTTTTTCGCTGCGTCTGCGACGGGCCAGACGCCCAATGTACGTTCCAGCGAACATGTTTAATGGACTCGTGGCTGAATGGGCACAGGTCCTCTGGATAGGCTGCTCCGACTCGCGGGTTCCCGAGTCTGTCGTCACCGCTGTTCGCCCGGGCGAGATATTCGTGCACCGCAACATCGCAAAGTACGTGTTTGTGCATCGTTGCTGTGGCGTCTGCTCAAACACCACCTGGCAGCCAATTCCAGCTCGACGACAACAGCGCACTGGCGGTGCTCACATACGCGGTGGACCACCTCGGCGTCGAACACGGTGCTTTCTTTCTTTCTCCTCCGTCCTAGCCGCCATCCCAACCGAGTGTCTGTTTCTCTTCCCCCCCTTCGCAGTTGTTATTGTCGGCCACACCGAGTGCGGAGGCGCCGCAGCGTGCTTCGGTGCTGCGTCCTCGCCTGCGTTCTCCTCAAGCGCGAAATGCTGCGTGGTCGACCCCGGCCTCGCGGCTGACGCGCCGCTCAACCAGTGGCTGACGCCTCTCACCAAGCTCGTGGCGTCACTCAAGCTGTCGAGCGTGCCCAAGGCAGAGGCGATGCCGCTGATTGTCGAGGAGAACGTCAAGATGCAGGTGGAGAACCTGTGCAAGGCGCAGACGGTCGTCGACGCGTGGGCGCACAAGAGCAAGAAGGGCAAAGACGTGTGGGTGCACGGCTGGGTTTACGACCTGGCCAAGGGCGAGCTGCGGGATCTAAACGTCTCGCGAGGCCCGTCTGCGTAGTTCTCTTCTTCAAATTCGATATAGAGTATACACGGACGTGGCAGAATAGAGCAGCGCTCTTTGGATTTATTGTGTCGACATTTTCGACCTGCGTTGCGAATTTTTTGGAAAAAAAAGTGGACTCAGCCGCGGTAACCCCAACATGTTCTGGTAGTATTGAATTTGCCCCCGCTCGCCTCATGCTTTCCCGCCGGAGCGCAGTACTACTTGAAAATCCCAGACATACACGAACGTGATGCATGACGCTCCTTGTCCAGATCGCCTCGTACAATACCAACCTGCAGGGCGACAATGGGCTTCCGCAGGACCTCGTCGATTGGCTGAGCCCCACTCTGCAGGTCTCTACCTTTCTCTCCCACCAGTCCCCTGCAGATATCGTTGCAGTCGGTTTCCAGGAGCTCCTACCCCTGCACCTCGGTTGTGCGTGCAATTGCTGCCTACATGCACTCCTTGCAGCTCTAACGCTACCCACACAGTGTCCGGGCTCTCCAAAAAGGTCCTCGACAACCGCAATGCCCACATCCTTGAGCAGATCGAGGCAAACTCCAACAACAAGGAGCGGTATGTCCTCATTGCAAAAGTCGTGAATGCCGGCGTCGCCCTTCTGGTCTACGCCCGCGATGCCGGAGTTGCCCGCACTGCGTGCGACGTCCACACCACCTGGACGGGCTCAGGTCCGGGATACATGGCCAACAAGGGCGCTGTTGGTGTGCGCTTCCGTGTCCCAGGCCCAAACGGCGGCCCCGGCGAGACCTTCACGTATGTCTCCCTTCTCCCCCATGCACCCCGCGCCCTGACTGCCCTCTCAAGCTTCGTATGCGCGCACCTCACCGCCCACGCGGAAAAGTTCGCGAACCGGCTCGCCGACTGGCACCACATCGTCGGCTCGCTGCTGTTCCCCGCACCCGGGGGCGCCCCGACGACGCTCTACGAGACGTCGCACCTCTTCCTGCTCGGCGACCTCAACTTCCGCGTCGTCCTGCCCCCTGAGCACCCCCTGAAGGGCGCGCCGACCGCAATCGGGCAGGCGCTCTCGAGCCAGGGCGCGCGCGACGCGCTCAAGGAGTACGACCAGCTGCTGCGCGAGCGCCGTGATCCCGCGAGCCGTGCCTTCGTCGGCCTCCGCGAAGGCGCCTTCTGGAACTTCAAGTGCAGCTACAAGTATCACCTTGGCGAGGTGGACAAGTACAGGTGCGCGTCTCCTTTGTTCCTTCTTCGTGTACCTCGCTGAACGGGCACAGCGAAAAACGCACGCCGTCGTGGACGGACCGGATACTCTACACGACGTACACCGACTCGCCCGACACGCCGGACGAGTCCGCCATCACCAACCTCCTGTACACCTCCGTCCCGGGATACACCACGTCCGATCACGTCCGTCCCCATAGCCTTTCACCGCTCAATTTATTCACTCGCCTCCGCAGAAACCGATCGTCTCCCTCCTGCTCCTGCCCGCGCCACCGCCCGCCGCCGCACCCCCGAGCGCGCCGCCCGTGCTGCGCCTCCCCGCGCACTATCGCCCCACGCCGGACCCGCACGCGGCGCTCAAGCGCTACACCGGCCGCGTGCTTGACCGCGTCATCGGGCGGATATGGTGGCTGCTCGCGCTGCTCGGCGCGGGCAACGCGCTCGTGGGCATATTCAACTTTGTGCTCGGGCTGGGCGCGTGGGGGTGGTGGCGCTCGTCGGGGATCAAGCTCACTGGGGGCGGCGATGCGGCTGCTGTGTAGGTTCGTGGATGCGGCCGCTGTCTAACACGGTTCGTGGATAATTTATTTGTACATACCCGGATTTTTTTTACTATCTAGTAGTTTACCGTTTTTGTTGTATCACCAATACTGATGCTGACGAGCCGTGGCGCTACCACAAAAAATGGCTTCTTAGCTTTACGGGTCTCTTGGGCTTGAACTTTGTTGAATCAATGAATGAAGCTTGCAGGTGGTCTGGTCAAAGCGACTATCGTGATCCAGCATTACGTCAGCGGATCATTCGAACCGTTTTGCTGCTTCCGCCTGCTTGTGCCGAGTTGTGCGGTTGAGCCATGATTCGTCTTCGTTTGTGGAGGCGAATTATCCCGCGACGCGCCTCGTTGCCTCCTCTCGCGTAAATGCGTTGCACGTCCGAATCCGAAATGATGCCGTCCAAAATTCAACCACATTCAAGGTCACCCCAAGTTACCGCAAGCTCGACGTTCAGCGTTCAAGCAAAATTGGAAAGTCCGCCACGGCATTGTTTTCAAGTGCCGGATTTTACATTGGGATTCCATATATTGTCAAGAACGTGGAGCTGGACACGTAAAAGAACCACGAAGCAGAAGGCGGCGTTTGACTTTTAAAAGGCTTTTTAACCTGCATTTCCTTTCCTCCTCCCTACTACAAAATGAAGCGCGGTTTTTTGAAGAGCGCAAAAGCGAAAGCCTGTCCTTTAGGGCCTGAATTAGGTGCTGTGGTTCGACCTCAATCCTGTAAGGATTTTTGACTGATGGTACCTATTTTTACCCAGCGCCCAAACCTCCTGCCTCGAGCAAGACATCCAGTCGTGTTACAGCTGCTGACCCTGAAATCCGTGAGTACTTACACGCCTTTCCCGCGAGACGAGTAAAATAATTGTACTATACTAGCCGTTCCCGAGGACCACAAAGAGCGCGCCCCTAGCGAACGCAGCATCCCCAATGTCGAAAAGCGCAAAACAACGCGTACCCGCCATACAATGAGTCCCGAGGGCGTGATGTGCACGACATTGCCTAGCGGCGCAGGGCCGGGCGAGCCCGTCTCCGAATGCCTCTTCTTCCCCGGGTGCAAAGACGCGTTGCTGAGCCTTCCCGGGTTTCCCCAGCCATTGAGGCACCACGCAACGCCCGCCTTCCGCATCGGCGCGACACCCGGCGAAGGAACACGTCTCTTCAGCACGCGCGCGCTGAAGATGGGGGACCTCATCCTGAGCGAGCGCCCCCTCTTCGTCGCCGCACGCGTGCCCTACACACCCGACGTGGAGAAGTACTTCCAGCTGTCCGTGAGCCGCATGCGCCCGGAGGCCAGGTCGGCGTTCATGGCGTTGGCGGTCAGCCCGACGGCGGACGGCGCGGGGCCCGTCATCGGGATCGTGCGCGCGCACGGGCTGACGCTCGACGGGCTGTGGGTTAGCGGGAAGCTCAAGGACCAAACGTACCGTGCAGTTTGCAAGGATATTTCGCGCCTCAGCCACAAGTATGTACGCGTGCCTGGTATGGGCCAGTGCCGCGACTGACAGACGTCCTCTGTAGCGACTCGCCCAACACCGCGCCGAGCTTCAACCTGCGCTCGTTCTCCTTCCGGCTGTTTGCC